ATATATTTGGGTAAGTATATAATATACATTTAAAATAAATATATAAATTTACATTTTTATTTACTATTGTATTTTCAGGTGTTAGAATTAGGCTGCCTATACAAATAAAGAGATTTTTTTTGGAATATGTAATATAATAATAATGATATATAACAATAGATAATACCAGGGGCTTAACTTTTACTGGGGTGAGTTGGTGGATTCAGAAAATCTACCCAGGTCTGTATAATCTTATTTTCTTTTAGAATTTGTTGATGTTAGGAAAACATTGACTGAGCCTAACTTAACATACATTCTAGATAACATCAGACTGTTGGCGTAATAGTTAATGTATCAATAATGATCAACATTTCCATGTAATTAAATATAATTCATATTTATTCTATAATTACGATTTTGCTGGTGTCCATCTGCAAATGATATGACAAAATACTGATTCATCACAATTTGGTTGATGTGTTTCTGAAAAACATCCAGTATAACAAATTTTTTGTTTTCGTTTTCTGGTACATTGGCTAGTTTGAAATAAACAAATAACTGTGGAAATAATGTTAAAACAGTGATGGTGATCATTTTTGAATTTATAACATGATTCTCTGAGTCTTGGTGATTGGCTAGTATTAAACAATAATGTAAAGCATTGTTTTCTTATATTTAAGTGACAATTTTACTACAAACATTACAGTTTTCTGGCAGTTATTTTGTTTTTAATTAGCTTAATTATATTCAGGGGCATGTTTCAGTGAGGAGGTTCAACCAACTCGGAGTTTAAACTTAACCTGAGTTGATTTACTGAGAGATTAAAAACACTGAGTTTTCGGTTTCAGAATAGCGGATCTGAGTTGGGTCAATTAACTTTGAGTAGAGCAACTCAAGAGTTTAAGGGCACCTAGGGTGAAAAACCTACATTTGAGCTCTTGGCTCCGCCCCCTTGTTACGTTGGACGGGAATTTGAAACTAATTTTCATGTGAAGCAACCTGCCCCTAAAACAGCGAGCTGTGTACACACCCACAACATGACACTTTTAGCACATTATAATAAAAACATCTGAACTGTGTGTTGAACTGAACCTAAACTTGCACACTCAGAACAACCATAATATTAATATTAAATCTTAAAAAAGGTAAACTATGTGCCCTTTACGTGCGCACACCGCAACTATATAAAGGCATTATCAATGGAGCACAGATATTACAAGTGACCATGGCAATATCTTAAAAAAAGAGATCACAATTTCTTTCTCCAGCTGAACTTGTTTTTTTTTAAATAAAATAAGTAATGTTATGTGTGATGTTTATAAAATGTTTACACACGTTCCCACTTTTATACACATTGATCAGTATTAATAGATGTAAAAATGCACTTGTGTGTCTGCTTTTTTTATTGATCAAGTGATAGAGGTTGATATGACATTTAGAATGTAAGCAGAACTAAACAATAGTTTTTTAGAAAGAATAATAATCCCATTAATCTTGTAAGGTCAGTGAATTTAAACTAATTATTTATTTAAAAAGGGCAAGCTATTCGTTAGTGATTTTGTTCTTTGTGTGACTGTAATGTAGGCAATATCTATGTTTCCATCCAAATATATTACATAAATTTATGTGCAAAACTGGAATAATGCATAAAAAAGATGCGAATAAAGCAACGTTTCCATCCAATGAGTCAAAGAGAACAAAATCATCACTTCTTGATTAAATGGGCACCAAATATCAACAGTAAAAACAGAATTTGCTGCGGTAGAAGACGCTGCGTCAATCTTTTCTTTATTAAATATATGACTTGCGCCTCAGAAGACAATGCTGACACACTATGAACGCGTGGTGGCTTTAAAGCCATGAGATGCGGAGAACAGATGCTCTTTACATGCTCCAGATTACCTGGAGGTCATTAATAATATAATACCATTAATACTAAAACGGTTCAGGCATTTTAAAATGAGTAAAACAACATTTAAGATGTTCTACAGTGTGCTCAGCCTGCTGGATTGTCCATTCACACACATTTTCATCATCATATGATCTCTTATAACAAACCTTTTTTTTTATGTACATACTGTAATTTATTCAGTAAAAGTGTTTTCATCATAGTTTATGTGCATCTTTTCTATCAAATAAAAGTTTATCCTACTCAGTTATGTGCGTTTTCATGCATATTTTCAAAAGTTATGGCATCATGATGTTTCCATCAGTCATTTTTATGTGCGTATCCAAAAATGAGCATTAAAATAGGTGTGTGGAAATGTAAGGCTCGGGCGAGAAATACCGCTGCGTCTTTAAAAAAGGGGAGGAGGCCGACAGAAACTCTTGAGTTTAGAGAATAAAACCTGCTCCTGACCAGGTTAGGTTCACAGAGTAAGTGACCACAGAAACTGACTCTGAGTTAAAGTGACCTCTATTTCAGAAACAGGCTTGACTTACCCTGCCTTCTCCGGTTAGACAAACCTGCCAGTTTAAAAGGGAAAACCCAGAGTTTCTCTCATTTCAGGGTTAAAATACTGAAACGGGCCCCTGGATTTCTGTATCACCAAGAAAAACACTTACCCTTATTAGGATAATACAGAAAAGCATTTTTGATTTTCAGTTGCTGTTTCACATACATTATCATTACATTTGTTGTTAATACATAATGCTATTTTGTAAAGTCCCCCTGAAGTGCAAATTAGTGTTAGTATTAGTCTGTTATTTCCAAGGTTATCTATAAGCTAGTGTACTCCAGAGTAAAAAAAAAAAAAACATTTAGATGACATAAGCTTTCAAAACTTGTAGTATCTCACTTCTGCCAATTTGGATCAGTTGTTTTACATTATCAATAAACTTCTAATTCAAATTTTCTGACCAATCAAATGCTCTCTCAAATGTACCTCGGCCAAGAAGACATGTCTGAAATTCATAGCTTAATCAAGCATTCACTCTTGAGCATTCACCTGCACACTTATATGATATAAAAAAAACCTCCAAAATACAAAAAGCCATTTTGTACATTTAAATTCATCTAAGGCCACATTCACATGACAATGATGTAGCCAAAATGGATAAGATTTTCCCTTGCATTTAGAAAAAGATACACATTCAGTACATTAAAAGGAACACCAGGAAATTGAAGCCCAATTCCAATATTCCTTTGCCTATCCCTATCCCTACCTATGAGTATGCTTATGAGTGTGAAGGGGTAAGGATGACATTATTTTCCAAAGGATTAAGAATCTACACAAATGAATCCAGGTTTTCATTGTTTATGGCAGATGGTAGACAGTATATTTGGCCTGATGTGGGTGAGCAACTTGCAGATGTTAACATTACAGTGGGTTTATGATATAGGAAGGTATGTTATGGTCAGTGAGTGAACACAGATGCAGGTTTTTGATTGCATTTTGAATGTTTAAGATTAAGTACTGCAACAGGATCCTGAGGCCCATTGTTGTGCCCTTCATCCTCGAATATCAGACCACTTTGCAGCGTGATAGTGCATGGCGCTATGTTGCAAGGATCAGTACAAAGTTTCTGGAAGCTGAAACCATTCCAGTTCTAGCATGGCCAGCATACCCACTGTACATGTCATTCATTGAGCATGTTTGTGATGCTCTGAATTAGGGCTGCACAATACATTGTTTAGATCGATATCACAATTTGTGCATCCAAAGTAGTCACATCGCAGGATCTGCAATGTTGAATTGGATTTATATTGACCAGGAGCCACAGTCATAAAAGATTTTTACCATAATAATTTACGCATTATTAACATGCAATTTTAAGGTTTATAACTGTTCGAGCATATCAAGAAAGCTTAAAGCATTCCAGCACAAAAAAAATTGTACCATTTGTAACTTTATAATATTTTGCATTGGTGGAGTTGCTCTTCAGTGTTCAGTTTTTCAGCTTTCACCTGTGACATTTACATTACACTGAACCGAACTTAACTGAACTTCAATTGTGACAACTAAACTGAAGCTACTTTAGTTAATTCATTCATTCATACATTCATTCATTCATTCATTCATTCATTTTCCTTTAGCTTAGTCCCTTTATTCATCAGAGGTCACCACAGCATAATGAACCGCCAACAATTCCAGCATATGTTTTCCCTTCCAGTCGCAACCCAGTACTGGGAAACACCCATATACTCCCGTTCACACTCACACACACTCATACACTACGGTCAGTTTAGTTGATCAGTTCCCCTATAGCAGATGTGTTTGGACTGTGGGGGAAACCAGAGCACCCGGAGGAAACACACACCAACACGGGGAGAACAGAAATACTAAATGACCCAGCCGAGACTCGTACCAACGGTCTTTTTCTGTGAGGCAACAGTGCTAAACACTGAGCCACCATGCCGCCAATTTGGGGGTGAAAAAGCATCAGCTGTCGGGCACTCCCGCCTGCCCTGGGTAGGGACCGGGAGAGGACTTTGAATCTACGGCCTCACCTCCCCCCACAGAGGGAGAGGACAAGTCCAGCTTAGTACCCACTGCTGGCATGCTGACCCTGGGTCACTGAAACCCCTCCCGCAGATTGCTCTGGGTTGGGAAGGGGCCCTCCAGAAGGAGACATTGAGTTCTAGAGAACCTGCTCTCTCGGGCCACCTCAGGAAGGGGAAACATTCCCCGGGAATATTCACAGAGTATTCAAATTTAATAATATAGATTACAGAACAACATGAAACATGACAGAATACAATAAGATAATTGTTACGTCCCAGGACGTGTTTGTTTCTGTTTTGTATTTTCTTTCTCTCTTTCTCTGCTACACCCTAATAGGTGATGATGAACGTCACCTGCTGCCACTAATGACCCATTCAAAGATTGGAGGACGAGTAAAGTCGTGGGCATTTAAGCAGCTTGTCTCCAATGGAGCAGGGTGTTTTTGTGTGTGTGTGGAGGCTCTTTTGTAAGACTTTAAAAATATGCTTTGTTTAATCATTTAAGCATTATTTGTTGATTAGGAGCTTTAATTTGTTTAAGTTCTGTTGATTCTGTTGACCACCTCATACAGCCTTTGTTTCAACCTCTTTTTGATTGTAAGTTTATGTTTTCAATACTAATTTGTTAAACACTCTACTCTTTGTTAATCAGGGATTGGGTTAGTAGAGAGGGGGTGCCATTTTCCTTTTTGTAACAGTTTTCTCCTGTTTATGTTAGTAAGGGAGTGAGCATTTTTGATGTATTTTTCTTTTCTTTTCTTTTCTAGATTATTTAGTTCTTCCCTTTCTCTCAGTTAGAGAATTTTTGTTTGTTGTTTTGGCTTGAACCCACTCTTGAAGTTTTTTTGGAACCCTCCCTTAATCCTTCAATAAATTTTGTTAATCTTCATTCAGGTTGTATTTCTTTTGTTTAGTCCTTTGAGAAGTGTCTCCTAGGACCTCAATGCTGACACACACACACAAAACTCCATTACCATTCTGTTGCGTACCTGTGTCCTCCTAGACAGAGTTGAAGGGAACGTAACAATAATTAAGAACAAAAAGAGACCTGGTTTAAATGTATAAAAGAATGCACTGGAATGCATTTCCACAGGAGACAAATTACATTTGTCTATTAACAATTAAATTAAGAAATTAGGTTCTATTAACAAAGTTTTGGGAGAGCACGTTTGGGTGGTTATCCTGATTAAACACAAGACAAGCACAATTAGTAATCAAGCAAGTCACAATTGACTTGCCTGAATTCCTCAACAGTTTTCCAGTATCCCTACACCACCTTTCCTCATTTCTTTTTATTTTTACTGAAAGGGGGATGCTCTGAGCTTGGACCAATATTCCAAGCTTGAAGCCCTCCTCTTGGAAAGCATGCCAAACAAACATAATTTGTACTCTGTTTATTAAATGTAAGGGTAAACTCATAAAACATGACTTTTTTGTGTTCTCTTTGTTTCTCTGAAGAGTGGAGAGAGATGGTCTGATAAGATCTATAAAGTATTGTCAGACCCAAATCAGACTGCAGGACACACAAGTAGTCCTGCTTAAGGAAACTGGTGACCAGCAGAAACCACTATATAATGTTCTTCAAACAGTCAAAGACCAGCACAAAACCAGCATGAAGAACAAATATGAGAGATTATTTGAGGGAAACAAACTACAAGAGAACCAAACCTTGCTGAACCGCATCTACACCCAGCTGTACATCATAGAGGGAGAGAGTGAAGGAGTGAATGAAGAACATGAGGTTTTACAGATGGAGAAAACAGCCAGAACAAAACACTCCCAACACACTCCAATCTACTGCAATGACATCTTTAAAGAGGAGAAAGAGCAAATCAAGACTGTTCTTACTAAAGGCATCGCTGGAATCGGAAAAACCGTCTCTGTGCAGAAGTTCATTCTGGACTGGGCCGAGGGAAAAGACAATCAGGATGTAGATTTCATGTTTGTGCTTCCATTTCGAGAGCTGAACTTGATCAGAGATCATCAGTACAGTCTTCACACACTTCTGCTGGACTTTCATCCTGAACTTGAAGATCTGGAGCCCAAGATTTATGAGGAGTGTAAAGTTGTGTTCATCTTTGATGGTCTGGATGAAAGCAGAATCACACTGATGTTTTCAGACGCTCAGAAAGTTTGTGATGTGACTGAGACTTCATCAGTGGCTGTGTTGATGTCAAAGCTGATGAAAGGAGAGCTGCTTCCCTCTGCTCTCATCTGGATCACCTCCAGACCAGCAGCAGCCAATCAGATCCCCTCCAAATACATCAAGCGTCTGACAGAAATTCAGGGATTCACTGAGCCTCAGAAGGAGGAATATTTCAGGAAGAGAATCAGTGAGCAGCATCAAGCCAGCAGAATCATCTCACACATCAGAAGAGCAAGAAGCCTCCACATCATGTGCCACATACCCGTCTTCTGCTGGATCTCATCCACTGTGCTTCAGAAGCTCCTGGAAGAAGATCTGAGTGCAGAAATCCCTCAAACTCTGACTGAAATGTACATCCACTTCCTGCTGATTCAGATCAACATGAGGAATCAGAAGTATGAAGAGAGAGATCCAGAGAAACTCCTGCAGTCCAACAGAGAAGTGATTGTCAAACTTGCTGAAGTGGCTTTCAGACAGCTGATGAAGGGCAATGTGATGTTCTATGAGGAGGACCTGGTTGAGAGCGGCGTAGACGTCTCTGACGCCTCAGTGTATTCTGGGATTTGCACTGAGATCTTTAAGGAGGAATCTGTGATTCAGCAGAGGAAAGTCTACAGCTTCATCCATCTGAGTGTTCAGGAGTTCCTCGCTGCTTTCCATGTGTTTTACTACTTCATAAACAACACCAATGAGGCACTTTTTGATTCACTCGAAACTCTTCATAACAGAGTAATTAATAAAGCCATTGAGAGTGAGAGTGGTCATCTGGATCTGTTCCTGCAGTTCCTGCTGGGCGTCTCACTGGAGTCCAATCAGAGACTCTTCCAGGATCTACTGACACACACAGAGAAGAGCTCAGAGAGCATCAGGAGAAGCACACAGTACATTAAAGAGAAGATCAGAGATGGACATGGACTCTCCACTGAAAGATCCATCAATCTGTTCCTCTGTCTGCTGGAAGTGAAAGATCAGACTCTGTCCAGAGAGATTCAGGAGTTTGTGAAATCAGACAAACAGTCAGAGAAGAAACTCTCTCCTGCTCACTGCTCAACAATCGCCTACATGCTTCAGATGTCAGAGGAGGTGCTGGATGAGCTGGAGCTCCAGAAATACAACACATCAGATGAGGGCAGGAGAAGACTGATACCAGCCGTCAGCAACTGCACAAGAGCTCTGTGAGTGATTAATCTGGTGAAGAGATGTTTCTGAATGGAAGTTTCTTGTATTGGAATAAAAATTCATTAGTATCTTTTAGGTATAACTGAATTCTCATTTGTGCTTCTCTTCTTTCAGTCTTGCTGGCTGTAATATCTCTGCTCAGGATTGTGAAATTGTGTCGTCAGTTCTTCAATCCTCAAACTGTGTCCTGAGAGAGCTGGACCTGAGTAACAATGACCTGCAGGATTCAGGAGTGAAGCTGCTCTCTGATGGACTGAAGAGTCCAAACTGTCAGCTGGAGATACTGAGGTGTGTGTACAGACTGGGAGATGCATTCCAGATATTTTCATGTATTTTCACAGTCCACAATGTTTGTCACCAGAGAGGGAGTTTTTAAAGCAATTAATTGTGTAAAATATATAAGTAAAGAAAAAATAGTCAATATTTTAACAAAGTTGGTCAGTGGCACTGAAATTTTTATTTAAAAATGTGGTGCAGGATGTTAAAACATTACTGGATTGGGCTGAAACTAGTGAAAAACATATGTCGCACCTGTGCCAAATGTATGATGCCTGGTTTGTCGGGGTGAGCTTTAGGAGGAATGTGATAGGATTTATTTGCCAAGTAATAGTGAAGATGCCAGTGTATCTGGGGTTTAACTTTTTGCATAGGAGCTGCGAGTGTATGTCCCATGTAGAAAGCCAGACCAACTATCTACCCATTCAACTGTAATGGTAAATATATGACATGCTTAAGGTCACACCTGGGAGAGAGAAGAAATTTTACAACACTCCGGATATGGACAATAGGGAGGATGTCTTCAGCGGTACCAAAGTACCAGAACACATTCTGAAAAGTTCTGCAGTTTTCATGACAGTTTGTTAGTGAAAAAGATTAAACAACTTGACTTGAAATCTGTCAGTGGTAACTAGAATGCAGCTTATACCAGATCATGCAGGTAAGTCAGTGATGAAATCAACCCCCAGGTGTGACCAGGGCCAATTAGGAACAAGCAGAAGATTGAGGTTGATAGGTGGTATCTGTTGAGGTGTTCTTGTCATAACACATTATCTGCAAACTTGCGTGAACCTTTGCACATATTGGGCCATGCCACATAACTAGAATCCAGTGCCCAGCGAGGTGTGTACTGTCTGGATAGTTGTCATGTGTTGAGCAGAAGGAAGGTACTGGTGATCAGGAATGCATCCCTGCAGTGGATTGTAGTGAGCGTTGGGGGAGGAGTTCTCAGCATTCTGATTCCACTGAATAGGACAAGTGAAGACCTTTTGGTAAAGGATGCTTTCTGGAGAGGCTTGGAGGAGAAAGAATCCTAGGTAAGGCGTCTGCATTTTTTTGATCCTGGTCAGTAGGAAATGGTAAATTTGAAGCATGTGAAGTACCGCCCTATTCCAATTATACAAAAGGGTTCGGATTGATCTGATTAAGGAGCAGTGCATACAAGTGTTCTTGGTTTTTCAAGAGGTGTTTCAGAACAGAAATTTAGGCTTACTCCTTACCAAATAGGTAAGAGTGTTAACACTGGAAGTGAATTTCTTAATGATAAAAAAAAAAAAAAAAAAACGGAGGAGCACAATCTTTGTTCTTTGATTTTTTTGGTCTTGACAATTCTCAGACTGCTTTGACTTTCCGCTTGTCCATTTTGATTTCTTCTGCATATAGTATTTAACCAGAGAAGGGATTTCATCAATAACTGGTTTTTGAATATAACTCACCATAGGTTCTAGAGCAAGGATGTCAAACTCTGTTCCAACTCAAACTCTGGCCGCATCTCTGCACAGTTTAGTTTTAGTCCTGCTTCAACACACTCACCTAGAGGTTTCAAACAAGCCTAAAGGACTCAATTAGTTTGATCAGGTGTGTTTAATTAGGGTTGGAACTAACCTGCAGAGCTGCGGCCCTCCAATAACTGAGTTTGACATCCCTGTACTAGAGGATGCATGGGACATTTTAATAGGGCATGTTCCAGACTCCTCTGTTGCTCTTGCACTGGTAGTCATGTGTTGCCCAGCTGCAAGGTTTCTGGAACACAGTCTTGTTGTGGTTGGAGAAATAACATAAGAGTGTCATTATTATTACTCGTGAGGTGCTACCAAATCAATTGCTGATGACACTGCTTTTAAATGTTAGACCTGAGCCCTGCCAATGGAGAACAGGTTTCTGAATTTAAAAAAAATTAAAAACAGTATTTATCCCTCTGCAGGTTGTCTGGCTGTATGGTGACAGAGGAAGGCTGTGGTTTTCTATCTTCAGCTCTGAGTTCAAACCCCTCACACCTGAGAGAGCTGGATCTGAGCTACAATCACCCAGGACAATCAGGAGTCCAGCTGCTCCAACACACACTGGAGGATCCACACTACACACTGCAGAAACTCAAGTATGTGTTGTGTCTAGTTATAACTAGTTTACCTCAAGAAAACACAAACAGACATTTTGCCTAGACATTATTGGCACATTATCAATTATGTTTAACCATAGTTGTTAAGGTTAGGATGAGTGCTTAGAATGGTAAAAATCCTTTTGAATTATGTTTTGAATCCAGAACAAAATTTGGACTCAAAAAGAATTGAGAATTGAACTAAAATGATATCAAAGATTTATTTATATGTTGAAGATATTGATAAGCTTGGTATGTGGAAGAAATGGATTTAGAATATTTGCTTTAGTTACTTCCAATGTTGGTACCTGGGTCTGTTTAATTGTTTTTTTGTTTGTATTTGTCTAGTTTTGATAATGGAGAACAATTGAGGATCACGCCAGGACTACGAAAATGTATGTATCCACACACAAAATATATTCAATGTTGCCTGAAATTAATCTTCCATGTTTTTCTTATGTCTTGTATGCAGATGCAGTTGATCTCACACTGGATCCAAACACCGCAAATGCTAAACTCATCCTATCTGAGGAGAACAGAAAGGCAACTCTAGTAGAAGAGCCACAGACATACCCTGCTCATCCAGACAGGTTTGAGCTCTATGAACAGGTTCTGTGTAAAGAGAGTCTGACTGGACGCTGTTACTGGGAGGCTGAATGGAGTGGATGGGTTGATATAGCAGTGACCTATAGAGCAATCAGCAGGAAAGGAAGAAGTGATGACTGTGATTATGGACTCAATAAGAAGTCCTGGGCTTTAAGCTGTATTAAGGGCAGATACACTCTCTGGTATGACAAAGTCAGTGTAGAAATTCCGGTACCTTTTTCAAAATCTACCAGAGTGGGTGTCTATTTGGATTGGCCGGCTGGCTCTCTGTCTTTCTACAGCGTCTCTGACACAAACACACTCACACACTTACACACATTCAACACCACATTCACTGAACCCCTCTACTGTGGGATTGGGGTTTTTTATAATAACTGCTCAGTATATCTGTGTTAGATTAAACAACCTACAACAGCGAATGCACCAAATTAAAACAAACTGTTTTTCTTTAACACAGATTTGCAGGAACTTCTTGTGCCTTTAGTCAAATCTTGTAAGTCAGACTTAAACGTTAAAGATTCTTTATAGCAAACTGTGTCTGTGTCTGACTATTAAGTGTTTTTGAAGTTTTTCATTTATATTCATTAAAATGATTTATCATTTAATTACTTATTCTGTACATTATATACATCAAATGATATATAAATAATTGAATTGGACATTTCATGTTACATTTTAAAAAGTTTTATGATAATTAAAAGATATTTATCTTTTATACATTTTTTTAACATCAAATTCGTCCACACAAAAAATGAGTATCGGGTGACTGAAACCAAAACTTTCTGAATACTTCAACCAGGCTGAAGATTTCTCGAAACTCCAGCTGCAGTGTGGTCGCTACAACCACAGGTTTTTCCTCATGACATCATTGCATTGTTTTCTCCATTCTGATTGGCTAACACGGCTGGGTTCACACCAAACACAAAAGATGCAAATGAGATGAAATTCCACATATTTGCTACAAACACACTGTGTGTTCTGTGTCATTCGCACAACGGGATGGTATTTCACCTCTGTTCTTATGTTTGCGTTGGCTTGTATGAAATTTACTCACAGAAAATGCTTAATTCACAGCTTGATGTGAAGCCAGCATATCAGTGTCATTATCTCCACCTGTTGGTTTGGAGTGCACTACAGTGTGCGTTTGCATCTTCATGTGAAACCGAATCGAGGAAAACATTATAAAAATAGCAGTGAATGTGTGGACATGGCCTCAGTGGATGTTTTCATGTTTTTGGTGGGGTGTCAATATACTGTAAACCAAGTAAACGGATTTTTTTGATTGTTTAAGTCAGCAAGGTTGTAATTTATTGATTTATGAGTTTGCAGAATGTATTTAATGCTTTTCATTGATGTTTGTTCCCTAAAAGACTCTTTGTAGAACTACTGAGTCGATGATGACGATGGCTTTGTCCATTTGTATTGATTTTTATAATTTTTCTTACATTTCATTATTGTTAAATATGGCTTTGGTTTGTTGCAAATCACTTTGTTACAGACTGCATAAACTATTAATAATACATACAGTTGTCTTCAAATGCATTTATCTGCCAAGTTTAATGTATTTATGGGTAGTCTTGAGAAAATAAAGCATCAAAGTCTGAAAGAAGCTGTTTGTGTCTGCGAGTCTAACCAGACTACTATAGTCAACTAGTTCACAGTTGCCATCACCAAATTTTTTTAAATTGCATAATTTTCTTCAAAGAAAAAAAAAATCCATTAAAAAAATCAATTAATGTGTGTAGTGAGGGGGCAGGGCCTGAGAGTCATGGAAACGGAAGGGGGCCGGTGCTTGAGTGAACAAAAGAGCCGGTGGGCCTTGAGTCCCACAGAGAAGCTCTGGACTATAAAAGAAACACAGACAGCAATTGAAGATGAGAGAAGACCTGACCTGGACATGTTATGTTTTAATTTTGCTTTCAGTTTGATGGCAATTATAATAAAATAAATAAATTTGTTTATAGTCTGTCTGTTCTCCACCTCCTCCTTCCCAATGACCAAGTGGACATCTAACTTTGTTAGATGGAGGAAGGAGGAACACACTGCCAGGAAGCCCTCAACACTGAGGGTGGTGCGCGGAGCCTTCTAGTCGGATCAAGCGGAATTTGTCCCTGGAGACGCTCAAGGCCAGCATTGGAACAAGCTTGCTGGGAAGACAGAACTCATTGCCGTCCATCGCAACCTGGAGGGGCGGCTGCCGAGCACCGAGCTGCCGAGCGCCTGTTATACAGAGAAGCCGCTGCCCATCAGCCGGGGTCGGGGCAGAGCAGGAAGCCATCCACACCACCCCACAACCTCCCATTCCCCCCATTACCCACAGCATATTGCCATTAATCAGCAGTGCAACACTTAAGTGTCATATTAAAACATAGTAAATTCATTAGAGGTTTAGTGATGTTAAGTCTATCTTATCTTTATATTCATATTATAACTATCATATCAGCTTTGTTAGTGATGAAACTAAAGCAAAACCACGCTACACCTGGAAAGAACTATATGGTAATTTATTGATTATAATCATTTTTATTATTAATTTATAAGGAGTTTCTTATTCATTTTTTTTGGCTTAGTTCCTTTATTAATCAGGGGTCGCCACAGCGGAATGAACCAGCGACTTATCCAGCATGTTTTACACAGTAGATGGCCTTCCAGCTGCAACCCATCACTGGGAAACACCCATACACTCCCATTCCCATGCACACAGACATGCCCTTAGGAAGTTTCTAATTTTCTTAAAATGTACTCTGTTTAACATTTCATGGTTTGTTTCAGAAGTTTCTGTTGAACTAATTTTGTTGTTGATCTTCAGGGTTATTTTGGATGTGTAAGAGCACAGTATCGGAATGTGTGTGTTTTTGTAAAACAACGTGACCTAAAAAAAAAGACTAAAAAGCAGATGGACCAGGAAGAACACGTCAAACGAATGCTACTAACATGGTTCCACAAGACATTGACTGTAACACCAGAAGAGTATTTTTTCAGGTAAGAACATTTATAAAAATCTACAGCAGATTAAAAAATCATGTTTAGATTAAAACAAATCTTGGATGTGTGCACATCAATGTTATGTATTTAGCTTGAGAATTGAATGCATCACATGACACATACTTTTGGAGACCATTAGATAAACATTTCATTTTTAATGTTACTTAAAAGTTTAGTTTTTACGATGTTAAAAACTCCTGAAAACATGCATCAAATGACAGACTAACAGGACCCCTCAGCGATATTGATCTGATGTTTGGTTTGACACCGTGAAAGATAATCAAACAGAGGTCAGGACATTTGCTTCCTCCAGTTTCATCTCCTCTATTTTTATACTTTGAACAAGGTGATGATCAATTTTAACAGAAATAAATTGACAATTTTTAGCTATTTCACTGCTTGATCCATAAAACCTTTCAATGGCTGTTTTCCATTAATTTTTAGTGAGGAATTATTCATTAATTTCAGGTATTCCTTAATTTTTTTTTTTTTTAAGATATTACTATATTGCTCTATTTTTTACCCCCACTTTACTCTTTTGGTATTGATTGGAAATTTTGTTGATTTCTCCATGTTTGCTGCTAACTGCTGATTAACATTTGATCTGATAAAATGTTTGCTTGGCTGGCCAATTTCATGGATTAATATGTATTTATTATTTTTTCCATGATGTTATTTATTAAGGAGTCATAGTATTTAACCGAAATTATTAGCAAATGTTGACATCAGATAAGTTTACAAAACTACAATAATTATAGTTAAGACAAAAGAAGACCTGCTTATTGCTGATTTTATTTTATTATCTGTTATCGCCCATACCTACATTGTTGTTTTTTTTTTAGATTAGATTCAACTTTATTGTCATTACACATGTACAAGTACAATGCAACGAAATGCAAATGCAAATTTCTACTGTTCTGAGAACTGTCACAGTGATTGAACAGTTTAACAAAGCTTCAATTTGATGTGTATTCTGTTACGATTTTCTTTTTCTGAAAAATAATTATTTCTCTTCCAGTTTTGCTGGCTTTAATCTCTCTGCTCAGGATTGTGAAATTGTGTCGTCAAGTATGTGATGCAGAATGTTTAATGGAAAATGGAAGTCTATGGGACAGTTCCTTGGGTCCTGTAAGTGGTTAGGAAGTTAGAAGGTCAGATTGTATCAGTTACTTGCTATACTGATTTAAATGCGGCCAGCTATTAGTGTACCACAGATATATACACTAGATATCATATAGGGACCCTGAGCATGCGTCAATAGCGCCGCCACATTGGTACAGTGCTCCCAGGACAAGTGTCATTCAACCGCACTAGTCAAGACAGTGTTATTACGTGAAGATGCTGGACTTTAGCGCTGTCTACGAGTGTAGTAACGAGCAAACAAAGAAAACAAAGCACAAAGGCAGAACATTTCATAGGTAAGATTAAGTTTTTTCTGTTTGTGTATGTTCTGAACTTTTGTGCTAATCAGGTAGCGTTATTGATGATAACAGTCACTTACTGCATTCACCATACGGCAAAGCAGCTCTAACTCGCACTAAACACTCGGCTTATGCTAGTTTTGTTGAATAAAATCAGCAAACAATGCAAAAGAAATATGACAACGAGATGCTGCGCTGCCAGAAACTGGTATTATTGTCGGCTAACGTTAGTGAAAGAGTCGTTTGGGGGATTCATTCACAAACGAATCGCTTCCTCCGTCAGTATGAGCAGTGAAAGCAGGAGAGGAGCTGTGTTTCAGGACATGATTAGATCAGATTTAACAGTGAGGGTGGATAGTACATTTCTGTACACACAAACACAAGCTATTTGTCAGGAATGCCCGTGCGGTCACTGATCCATCAATGTAGAAAAGTGATGTCAAATTATAATTTTCGTAATTAGAAAAAAAAATTACATACTAACATCCAGGAAAACTCCCGAACACAGATATATGTGTATATGTGTATATCTCTGGCTTTGCATGGCCACAGTCCTCCACTGTACCTTGGTCCCGCATTCATTTCAAAGGAGCGCTACCCTGTAGCAAGATGGCGGCGCTATTGACGCATTCCGTCCAATAGACAACAATAGGCCAGGCGACATCTAATGTATATATCTATGTTAGTGTACAACAGTCTGATGCAAAGTTGTGAGGTCACAAAGTTTGGTACAAAGTTAAGACTCCCCATCCCCTCACGGACAGCAGCAGTCCCATGTGTATCCATACAACCAAGTTTCTCCAGTGCGGACCTCAAGCAACCACAGTTGCAGACTTCACTCCTTTAGCCACAACAAATTTCATAAGTGGTCTCCAACAGCATGTTTCTCCTTCTGCCCTGGTTTTGGCACCAATGTAAAACAATTCAAATCTCAGAGTTTGAGGGAAGAAGTAGGTGGGACACCAGAAATCATTTAACATTGTTAAATGAATAATCGAAATAAATGTTTTTCAACTGCTTTTCCGGGGCCGGGTTGCGGGGGCAGCAGTCTTAGGAGAGAACCCCAGACTTCCCTCTCCCCAGACACATCCTCCAGCTCCTCCGGGGGCATCCCGAGGCGTTCTCAGGCCAACCGAAAGACATAGTCCCTCTAGCGTGTCCTTGGGTCTTCCTGGAGGCCTCCTCCCAGTGGGACAAGCCTTGAACACCTCCCTAGGTTGGCATCCAGGAGGCATCCGAAACAGATGCCCGAGCCACCCCAGCTGACTTCTCTGGATGTGGAGGAGCAGCGGCTCTACTCCGAGCTCCTCCCAGGTGTCCCTCACCCTATCCATAAGAGTGCGCCATGCCACCCTGCGAAGAAAACTCATTTCGGCCGCTTGTATCCGAGATCTTGTCCCTTCGGTCATGATCATAGGTGAGAGTAGGAATGTAGATTGACCAGTAAATCGAGAGCTTTGACTTTCCTCAGCTCCTTCTTCTCCACAACGGACCGGTACATCGTCCGCATTACTGCTGCCGCTGCACCAATCCGTCAATCTCACATTCCATCCTTCCCTCACTCCTGAACAATACCCCGAGATACTTAAACTCCTCCACCTGGGGTAAAGACTTTCCTCCAACCTGGAGATGGCAAACCACCTTTTTCCGGTGGAGCACCATGGCCTCGGACTTGGAGGTGCTGATTCTCATCCCAGCCGCGTCACACTCGGCATGAGTATTATTCTTAGTATTAAAGTTTTTGTATTCTTTGTTCAATAGAGTCTCAAAAGGACAATTTGTTTTGTAAAGCTGTTCACTTGGGCATAATAATTATGACACACTGGATCTTACAGCTGTAAAAGCTGCTGTGTTATCCAAATAATCATGCCTCGTATTAATTGTTTGTAAATAAATGCTTAATGGTTGTACGTTTTTGTGTGTTTATAGTTGGGATCATGGAGGGTCACTGATGATCCAACCAGGATTTAAAAAATGTAGGATCTTTCTCTGACAGACCATTGCACTTTTAATGGAAACCAATGAGATTAATACTCTTTATTTGTCTGTGTTCAGATGCGGTTGATCTCACACTGGATCCAAACACAGCAAATGCTAAACTCCTCTTGTTTGACAGGAACAGAAAGATCACGTATGTGGATAATCCTCAGCCCTATCCTGATCATCCAGACAGATTTGCTGATGTTCCTCAGGTACTGTGTAGAGAGACTCTGACTGGACGCTGTTACTGGGAGGTTGAATGGGGCTCCTGGGCTCGTATAGCAGTGGCCTACAGAGGAATCCTTAAAGAGCGAGGGACTGTCTCTAAGTTTGGATACAGCGACAAATCCTGGTGTCTCTTCTGCACTGGTGATGTATTTGTTCCCTGGCACGATAACAAGAGTAACGTCCCAATACATGTAGCACAATCTAAAAGAGTCGGAGTGTATGTGGACGTGCCGTCCGGCTCTCTGTCCTTCTACAGCATTTCTGACAACCACACACCCACACACATACACACATTCAACACCACATTCACTGAGCCCCTCTATGCTGGATTTAAGGTGTTTCAGTCTTCACTGTCTCTGTGCCAGATTTAGCATCAAATGCATGTTTAAAGGCCTGTGAATATCGCAGTGCTATTCGCCAATGCTTTTATTAAAGGGGTGCCAATATGGTTGATCATATCAATGTGCAAAATGCCAAGTTTCCCATGCAAACATTCACCAGTTCGATCCTAGTTTGGAGCGGTTGGGTCTGGTTACATCTGGAGCTGGTGAAGTTACAGTAAATATGACTTTAAAGTTTTAGCCGAGCACACTGTCACTTCCATTCCTTATGTAGAAGATGATGCACCAAGGGAAGATGAATGTAGATCTGCTTTTTTATCTAAACACAAAGAGCTGCTTGATAAACACTGTCAGCAGGAGGGAAATGTTATGGAGAGTAAGGCCCAATCCCAATTCTACCCCTTAGTCCTTTCCCTTACCCCTCGTTTTGCGCGTGCCCGTGAAGGAGTAGTGGTGTCCCAATTCTCTATAGCTTGAAGGCATAGGGCTAAGAGCAAGCGGTATACACCTCTTCAAATGAAGATTTTTCTGGAGCACACTCGAAACCAAAGGGTAGAGAAAATTTTGGACTAACCTGTATTTTTTGTCATTATTACAAATTTTTACAACAAACAAACACATGTTTTAATATATTCATAACCGCGTTCGTGTTATACCATCATGCTTTAAAAAAAACAAAACGCTAAAATAAAAACCGCTAAATTTCGCGATCTATAATCCCTAATAATAAATTCTGTACTGCAGTTCCACAACATTCTGACACTCGATGGCACTTGAATACCCTGTCAGAAAAGTCTAGTGGCTGTGAATGGGCTGTTTACAGTGTCTGCTATAATGTTAATGATGTTTTTGGTGTGTTTACATTAATGGATATGGCCACTGTGTAAATGCACAGTCCTGTTACGATCTTATTGCAACATTAGATCATTATGATAACGTAATACATGGCTTCAGTGATGTCCTGAAGATAAATACCAAAAAATAACACAACTGGAATCACTACAGTAGTCGCCATCATCTGAACTCTTCTGAAGCAAGAGATGGCGAGGATATGATGACGTGTGCAGGTGATGTAGTGCTTAGGGGTGAATTTTGAAGCCCTTTACCCTTAGTTGCAAGGGCTGAGGGGAAGGTTTAGGGGTACAAAAATAGAATTGGGATTGGGCCTAATTGTAGATCAAATGGCCCTTTCTTTCAAGTTTGTAAAGCGCCATCTAATGTCAGGGCGTGGTTTTGCACGCTCACCCTGCTCTATGCCAGTGAAAATCGATTGGGTATGAATGCTGAAAAATGTCTCCAAACACTGATGATAATTGTGAGCGAAAAGTGTTAAGACTTAAGTGCAGATTTGGCATGCTTCAGAGGTCACTGTTTTGTAAGCATCACAGGACACTGAAAGCTTAATGTCATTGCGAATGAAACAAAAGTGAATGAACCAGTTAATCCACATGTTGAGTTCCTGCAGTGTGTTTATTGTGGATGTGCGCTGTCCTGTATCCATCCACACTGTGCAGACCCTGATCAATCTATTTATATGCTTTTCTCAGTAATTAATGAACTGGAAGTGGTACTGTATACATAACAATGTATTTCAGATTTTTTTTTTAAATGCATCTTTAAAGAGAATAGAAGTCTGTGTAAACAATATTAAATAAATAAAGGAAGACAAGATGAACAATTCGTGAGGTCATGTTTGTCTTAACTTAGACTGTTTTCTTGCTGCAGAGGGATTAAACCTAAACCCGTCTCCTCTTTAGTGGTCATGATGAACATGTAGCGCCCCCTTATGGATAGACATGGATAAGATATACAAATGGAGTTTAATCCAAGATAAAGTTGATCTGTCTGTAATAGAACAAAGTCTTACAATCTGTTTGCACTTTTACATATTTTCTGTTCACTTGTATTATGCTGTAGACACTTTATAGCATATTATAGCCCAGTTTTTTTTAATTAAGTAGCAAATATGAGCATGCCTTAATCATACATTTATTATTAATTATTATTATTATTTACATTTATTTATTTTTTATTTTGTTTAGTTTTTTGCTGTATTTAAAAAACTAATGTGGCTTATTTATCCAGTTGACTTGTAAATACGTTTCTTACATTACATTACATTACTGTGGCTTTTTGTTTACCCAATATAATATTTTATTTTCATCTGTTATGCTTGTAGTAGTAGTAGTAGTAGTAATAATAATAATGCATAATAATTTATAAACCAATAATAGTGTTTATAATAAGAAAATATAATGGTAGTATAATGATAAAAGAGTACATGCTGATGTACAACTACCTTAAGCAAAAATCAGGTCTGCACTAACATACAAATTAAAAAAAAAAACATTATACAAGTATAAAAAATAGAGCTAATTCTGAGTTTCTGTTTAATCCAATATGTTATTTTCAGTAAAATAAACTACTAAATGCAGAGCACTTTATTATGTTGTGTTTCATCTGAAGGATTTCTTGTTTCTTTTAGCTTGACTGAAATAATCAAAATAATTTAATGAAAATCTGCTAAGGTCAATATTATAAGTCCCCTTAATAAGTAAGAAATCATTTGAAGAATTTGAAGGACATGAGAAATAGCTTTTTGCCATAAAATATAAACAACTTTGATAGGAAATATCTCAATTATAAAATATAAATTACTTCATTATAAAATACTTCGTTATAAAATGTGTGCAGGAGCTTAAAAAACTAAAATGCATCCTTTTCTTCAGAAGCTGCATAAACCAACAGTGCACTGATTTATTTCCCAGCAGTCAGATCAAATGTGTTGAGAATGGCTCTCTCTAGTGGTGAAATGTGGCATCGCATCTCTGAGTAACACCTGTAGGAGGAACTCATCTGAGTTCTTGCTGATTCTTATCTAAACATTATTAGTTCCACTTTATATTAAGTGGCTTTAACTACTATGTGCATCAAAACAGTACAAAATACTTGCGTTCATAATGTATTGCATAACACCTCTGAAGCTCTTGGTGTGGGACACAGGTTTGTGGGTGGGCTAATGTGTAAGTACAATGTAAAAACCTTCATGTATAAGTTTACCAAATGATTCATTAAATTGCAAAAATAAATTACGACAATTCATATAAAATCTGACCTGTATTATGTGTTTTTGTTTGCACACATGAACTATAGCAACTGATAATAATATTATAGTTTTTGACCCATACTACTCTAAAAATTTTAACCCAATTTGGGGTCAAATGTGGCCTAACCCAAGCATTGTTTTCATAGTGTTATTTAAATTGAATTAATTAACCTAATGTTCGTTCTGTTCATATTTTTAGTTGTTTAGTGTTTCCCAACCCTGTTCCTGGAGGCACACCAACAGTACATATTTTGCATGTCTCCCTAATCTGATGCATTACCCTCAGGTTTTGGAGTCTCTTCTTATATTCTGATGAGCTGATTCAGGTGTGTTTGATTAAGGAGAGATTGTAAATGTGTACTGTTGGTGTGTGTTCAGGAACAGGCTTGGGAAATGCTGGTCTAGACTGTGTGTGTGTGTGTGTTTGTGAGGTTGTTTCTGAGTGTTTTCAGCCCTGATGGCGTTCGTAGTTCATCAGCTCTGCACTGAGGTAAGTCTGATTTTATTTGCCTGTGGGCTCTGTGGTTCATCTATATTGATACTCGTTTTCTATTTAAGTGTATGAGGCCGTATGCAAATGTTCGTCAACATGCAAAAACAAAATCATCCAGTCGACCACTGCAGCTCTGGAGGAGTTTTAGACAGATTTGCATGAAGGCAATGCAACCCTCCTCACGCAAATGTTAGACGATGATTACTGCGCAGACATCCTTACTTTAATTACACGATAAAACTTGCTGGGTTGTTATAGCACAAAGTTGGGTCAAATATGGACAAATTCAACCCTTAGGTTAACAAGTGCCATTTAAATAAATGTTATTGAAAAATGGGTAAGGGTTTGTTCATATTTGACCCAACTCTGGGTTACAGTAAGAGTTATGTGCATTTTTCATGTGGAAATCTACAAAAATAAAACATAATTTTGGTGTAAAGCGGAATATATTTAGCAACACAATTTAAAGATGTTATGAATAAGATCATTTGTACAGGTATAGGAAAACATAAGACATTCTCAGATTGTTTTGATGAGGGCCTAAAGATTTACTATGCATTTAATTAAAATATTAATGTTTGTTTTATTGTATGAGAATTGGTCAACATTTGTTCCACATTTCAAATTAAAATACTGTAATTTGGAGCATTTTTTGAGAAATATGTATCTAAATAACACACGTTTTCATCAGGGTTGTTCTTCTAAACATTGCTCTAAGTGTTCTGAAGTAAAATAAATACCCTCACCGGCCACTTTATTAGGTACACCTAACTAGTACCAGGTTGGACTCCCTTTTGCCTTCATCCTTTGTGGTGTAGATTCAACAAGCTACTGGAAATATTCCTCAGAGATTTTGCTCCATATTGTCATGATAGCATCACACAGTTGCTGCAGATTTGTCGGCTGCACATCCATGATGCCAATCTCCCGTTCCACCACATCCCAAAGCTGCTCGATTGGATTGAGCTCTGGTGACTGTGGAGGCCATTTGAGTACAGTGAACTCATCGTCATGTTCAAGACACCAGTCTGAGATGATTGAGCTTTATGACATGCTGCGTTATCCTGCTGGAAGTAGCCATCAGAAGATGGAGACACTGTGCTCATAAAGGGATGGACATGGTCAGCAGCAATACTCAGGTAGGCTGTGGCGTTGATGCTCAATTGGTACTAATGGACCCAAAGAAAATCTCCCCCACACCATTACACCACCACCACCAGCCTGAACCGCTGATACAAGGCAGGATGATCCATGCTTTCATGTTGTTGAGGCCAAATTGTGAGCCGAGCATCCGAATGTGTCAGCAGAAATGGAGACTCATCAGAGCAGCAACGTTTCTCCAATCTTCTATTGTCCAGTTTTGGTGAGTCTGTGTGAATTGTAGCCTCAGTTTCCTGTTCTTAGCTGACAGGAGCGGCACCCGGTGTGCTCTTCTGCTGCTGTAGCCCATCCGCCTCAAGGTTGGACGTGTTGTGTGTTCAGAGATGCTCTTCTGCAGAGCTCGGTTGTAGCGAGTGCTTATTTGAGTTACTGTTGCCTTTCTATCAGCTGGAACCAGTCTGGCCATTCTCCTCTGACCTCTGGCCTCATCAACAAGGCATTTGCGCCCACAGAACTGCCGCTAACTGGATGTTTCCTCTTTGTCGGAGCATTCTCTGTAAACCCTAGAGATGGTTGTGCGTGAAAATCCCAGTAGATCAGCAGTTTCTGAAATACTCAGAGCAGCCCGTCTGGCAGCAACAACCATGCCACGCTCAAAGTCTCTTAAATCCCCTTTCTTCCCCATTCTGATGCTCGCTTTAAACTGCAGCAGATCCTCTTCACCAGGTCTACATGCCTAAATGCAGTGAGCTGCTGCCATGTGATTGGCTGATTAGAAATAACAAGCAGTTGAACAGGTGTACCTAATAGAGGGGCCAGTGGGTGTATGTTGTCATTTGTAAACAAGACAATGACAATGTTTTCACTTTATAAGAATTAAAAAAATAAATATTAATGGAATAACTCTGACTTGCAAATATTAAAAAAAATGAAAGCAAATATAATTTTGGCAAATTGCATTTTCTGGAAAAACAAATAGATCTAAATGAGAATATTTACGCTTGAAATTTGAAAGGAATCTTACCCGACTGGTGGCACGTTGGTGAAGCAAGAAGGTTGCTGGTTCGAGTCTCGGCTGGGTCAGTTGGTGTTTCTGTGTGGAGTTTGCATGTTCTCCCCGTGTTGGCGTGGGTTTCCTCCTGGTGCTCTGGTTTCCCCCACAGTCCAAACACATGCGCTATATGGGAACTGATGAACTAAATTGTCCGTAGTGTATGTGTGTGAATGAGTGTGTATGGGTGTTTCCCAGAGATGGGTTGCAGCTGGAAGGGCATTCCCTGCGTAAAACATATGCTGGATAAGTTGGCGGTTCATTCCGCTGTGGCGAATAAAGGGACTAAGCTGAAAAGAAAATAAATAAATACACACCAGACCTTTAAGAACACATTTAGCTCCAACACACACCTGTAAAGAAAATACAGAGAAAATTAGAATTTGTTCTTAATTCTCTCCATTACATCTTTTCCATCTGCCCTCTTATGCTACAGAACAAATCACTGTTGTCCAACGACTTAGCTATAATTAACCTAGTTAACCTAATTATCATAGTTATAGTCTCTAAATTGTACTGTGCAGCTGAATACTCGTATCTTGCTAAATACTATCATCATGGCAAAGACAAGTTAATAGAAATTAGTTGTTAAAAGCATGGTGGCTCAGTTGTTAGCACTGTGGCCTCAGCGGTTCGAGTCCAGGCTGGGTAAGTGGGCATTTCTGTGAGGAGTTTGCATGTTCTCTCCATGTTGGCATGGGTTTCCTCCGGGTGCTCCGGTTTCCCCACAGTCCAAACACATGCGCTATATGGGGAATTGATGAACTAAAGTGCCCGTAGTGTATGAGTGTGTGTGTAAATGAGTGTTTTCCAGTACTGGGTTGTGGCTGGAAGGGCATCCGCCGTAAAACATATGCTGGATTAGTTTGTGGCTCTTTAACTGTGGCGACTTCTGATGAAAGAAGGGAATAAGCAGAAGGAAAATTAATAAATGAATGAATGTTAAAACTGTGTAAACGTGTTGGAAACTCTCTCCGTTAAACAGCACTTAAAAAGTAATTAGAATTTCACTAAAGAGCTAATGATTTTGTCTTCAACAATAGATGAGCATAAATGAGTTGACTATCTGTTTAAATGCACCATACATTGTCTACATCTACTAAGATATTTTGAAAATGGAGTGTATACTTATTTATGCTGAGCACCGTGGTATATTTAGTGTGTGTATGTGTGTGCTGATACAGAGAAGCGCACGCACGCAGAGGGAGAGAGAGAGAGAGAGAAGCAGGGCGTTCGTGTTCTCTCTGTCAAAGCTCTTGCGTTAAGATTCTCCCGGTCACGCCTGCCGCATCCAGCACAACCGGGAATAGCGTTTCCCTCCCGTCAGAACCCGACACACAGCAGAGAGAATCGTTCGCTGTCGGTTGAAGATCTCAGAAAAGCCGCCGAGGCCTGCGCTGTTTTCCGTCTCTATTGTACGCAGCAGCCGTGAATCCATGACAGCCGCATCTTCCATTGATCTGTTGATTTCTGCTGGATCTTCTGCATCTCCACCACCGCTGTCCTTTACCACATCACAACATCTGGCCACGAACACCTCGCTCAAATCCCACCGAAAAATCCTCGTTTTGACGAAGAAACCCTCTCCCGTTTAACACACATGCTGAATGTAACGTAGATGCGAGCGCAGCCTTTTTTATTCATATATTCCGGTGTTTTCAGTCGTCGTGTGGCTATTTGTGATTTATTCATCATCAGCCATCGTTTACACCGAGCAGGCCGTGACTTTTAGTCACGGACACCATCCACGATGGGTTTCTGCGCTAAATTTCGCGATTGTTGTTGACGATCGCTGTCTTTTTTCCTACCCTTCACGGATTTAAACCGTTTTTTCCGTTGGTTCGTGAGGACGGGGAGCGGCGCCAGGCGGGATTTCGCGCCCGCAGCAAACCAAACGACGCATTTATCTCTAAACTCACTTTTATTTTCAAGACTGAGATTAATATTTGTTTTCTGTGAAAATCGACTGTCTACCAGAGGAGGATTATCGTGTGTACGGCCACGGAGTGGGAGCGGGGATTTTACCACACGCAAATATAGCATTCTTTACCTCACCTGAAATCAGTATTGTGAATATTACAGATATTTAAGCCTTTAATCGTCGACTAAAATATTCCATCCACCCGAAGAGGATCATCTTCAGCCCATCGTCTCATTGCAATACCCTTGACGATCAACAGTTCGTCGCGTAAAGACGACATGCCTCAAAATCCGCGCGAATAATCGGAGCGGTTGAAAGACTCTCACAATGACTAATACTAATAAACCAACATGTCTCTCGACAACACTCGCGGACGCTTTTAGTGATATATGCTAATTTATCTCATCGAGAAGGCCAGGAGACTGTGTTCACGTTGGATTTTGTGTTTATCATTAATATTCTGCGCACTGTAAGGTGGATTATTCCGATCTGAACTATCATGTTTTTGGTCTCTTTACCGTGTGGAAGATGGCAGCTGATTAAATTTTAATCTTGATGCATTCTGGCGACACGAGAGCAGCAGAGGAGAAGCGATTGAGTCGGGGAGGAGAGGCGAGAGGAGAGGGAGAGGAGGAGAGGAGGATGTAGGGTGGATACGGAGTACCACAAGGTAAGGATGAATGAATGAAACGAAAAACAGCACAATCACAAACATTTTCCACACACAAATCAGCCCTCATCACGCACGTTTACAGCTGAGAATTGTATTAATGGCATTTCAGATTTATAAACATGCCTGGGCTTCCTCATAATTTCATATTTTATTTATAAAAATAACATAAATAGCTCAGGACAAACCAATCCCTGAAGTGTAGCTGTAAGTACTCCCACCTACACACATTTAAATGCACGTCATTGTGCACACACAAACACCACTGTACACATTGTGCATGCACAGACTTATATATCATTGCCACACACACACACACACACACATTGTGGTATTTTTTCATTGAATGTAAATTGAGTTACAGGCCAGAGGCGAGCCGAGCGCTGTGGTGCGTGAGTGGTGTGTAAATGTGCTGGCGCCACTGACTGCTGGTGCATTCTGACAGACCTCCATCTCTCCCCACCCAACATCTCCTCCATCTCTCGCATGCTGCATCTTCTCCTGAGACATGCATGAGGCGGTGTGTGTGCGTCTGTGTGTGATTTGGGCACAGCATTTGATATGATTGCTGTAAGTGAGCTAAACCTAAAACAACAGCCACCATCCTCCCACCCTCCATTTTTGGGGGAATATTTGATTCCGTAGGCCTGAGTAATGCGTTTATCGCATTATAAAAGTATACTTTTTTTTGCGCACATCTGTGGATACACCTGTTTGTGTGTATTCCAGGTTACTAATCTACATTTTAGGTAATAACGCTGTCTTTATATATAGATTTGACAAATTCAGTGGATGTCATTGGTAGGGCTGTGCGATTTGGGGAAAATATGGAATTGAGGTTTTTATTAAATTTATTTGTTTTTTAGACCGAAATTGTGATTTCGATTTGATTTGCGTGATTTTTGTAGTCAAGATTCAGCTCAATATTCTGTATTAGCTTCTTACTGCATGAGTGTTATTTATTAAAAAAAGAACTGAAAAGATATTAACTTAAATTAGCAAACAACTCTGAATTAGTACTTCGCTTTTTCCTGTAGCTACTAGATTGAGTGTTACTGGCAATACTTTTAGTTGACTTTGTAGCAAGACGCTCCTCATATTATTTAGGTGCTGGTTGTTGTATTTCCTCGTACTGTGGCAACAATTCTGCGACAGCTCTTACAAATTACCTGATTTTGTTTGGTGTCTGTGACTTTAAAACTAAGATATTCCCATATTACCGACATGCTGTTTTTCTTATAAATTCATCTATTAATGCTTCTGTAGTGGCAGATGCCATCATTCCACTCATCTGCGCTTTTCTGCTTGTTTTTTATTGTGGGCGTTCCACATAGTTTGGTCGCGCAATTCTGATTGGATAGAATGAAAGTGTGCTCGCTCAGTTAGCTAGTAAGTCTGTCACACAAAGACTGCAGTTGCGCGTTTGCTCTGGGTGGGAGAAGATAAATCAAACATATTATAATTATTTTATATATATTACATAATTGTTTTATATCGCATCCTCTTGTGATTAGCTAATCGCAACGTTTCAAATCACAATTGCGATTCAATTTTTAAAAATCACACAGCCATAGTCATTGCTTGATGAGAACGTTTGCACGAAAATATGGTGTATATGATATTTTTAGTCATGTAATATACATTTCATTTCATATAATATACATATAATATACATTCCATTTCATATACAATTATATTTCATATACATACATTTAATTTTACAACAGAACTACCACTCTAAAAATGTATGTATCGCAACAATAAGTTATTTTTATGTGACTGTAACTTACTTTAATAAGTTAATCATGTTTCTGCTAATGTTATTAAAAGTTTAACTTAATATTTTTAGTGAGCTTGATTTAATGTATAAGTTAAGATGACTAAAGGAAATTGTTTATTTAGTAAAAAAATAAGGCAATCATGTTTTTACAGTGTAATTACAAAGTTAAATCAAATTAACTTGAAGTCAGTTCAACTTAAATTCTATTAAACTGACTTAAAACAGCTTGTTTGACTTACAAAATTAAGCTGAAGCATGATTAATACTTGAATAAGTCATAGTTAGGGCCAGACAGAATCTGCGCGTGCAGAGATTTTCCGCAGAATTCCAAAGATTTCTGGAGATTTCTAGCCCATTATTAAATCTATTTATTTACTTGAGTAAATGTGTAAATCTGAATTTATTAAGTTTTTATTCAGTAATTTATTACTTTTTATTTAATATATTAGGGTTTTAGTTATGATACTCCGCTGGATACTCCCAAAATAATTCCGCAGAAATTCGCAGATTTTTACCAAAATTCTCTGCAGAAATAGCAAAAAAACGTCCGCAGATTCTGTCTAACTCTGGTCATAGTTAGGGCCAGAATGAATCTGCGGACATTTATTGCTATTTCTGAAGAGAATTTTGTAAAAAAAAAAATCTGCGGATTTATGCGGAATGATTTTAGGAGGATCATAACTAAAAACTTAATATATGAAATAAAAAATAATGCATTTTGAACTTTTATTTAATGTTTACAATGTAGGCATGGGATGAGAACCGTGTTCAAGGTATACTGCAGTTTGGAAAAGTCAAGGTTTTAAAACCGCCAAAATATTCTATAATACCGCTCCCAAGGTATGTTTAAGATATTTTATTTACATTTTGTTTTAGTTTTTTAGGACAGCAGTAACTTCAGCAGAAATAAAATTCAAAGATGCCGTTTTAAATCGTAAAGAAACGTGTGTTTTTGAAACAAATGAAGACAGCAGAAGTAAATGGTTCATTTTAATTAAATAGCCTGACGTGTTTACTGCAGCAAAATATCATAAATCTTTCCAAAAAATAGAATATAATGCTTTCAAATGGGAAAAAAGTTTACCCAGAAATTTAAAAAGAATATATATTAGAGTATAATATTAGAGCATAATAATATAGTAATTACAATACCGTGATAGCGTAAAGGGATATTTTTATCCAAGGGTATCATACCGTCAGAATCTAATACCAGCCCATGCCCATTACAATGCAAATCCAATTTGGTAAACAAAGCAATTCTCTAGTATATTATAAAAGACAGAAATTATTACTTTACAAACTGTATTGTACATAAATCATATGAACATTTTAATATCACTATTATTAAATCATAATAATATTAGTGGAATGAATAAAAAAACAGAATAAATATAAATTTACACACATTTACACAAGTAAACACGTAGACTCAATGATAGGGGGAAAAATGCGGATTTCTGCGCACACACATTCCATGTGGGCCTCGTTATGGTTAACATAAAGACATGTATTAACTATTGACCGTACAATATTTTTACTATTATTATTTAATTAGTTTTTTGAAGTATTTATGAATTTATTTATGTGTGATGTCAGTTTTTCTACAAAACAATCCAAGTCCTCGTTTGCCGTCGGATGTGTATTGTAGATAAACAAATGTGTGTGTGTTTAATAGACAGATCTATAGAGACAACAGGGAGTGTGTGTGTGTGTGTGTGTTTATAAAGGAGCACATAATGATCTTGTGAAGATTCACGGCTGATTGAGCGAAGAAAGACTCGAACACAAACACATGCAAAACCACTGGTCACTAGTCAAAGCAAGTGGACCCAGAGCAGAGAATAATGTCGGATGAAAAGCAGTATATCACTGCTGTTGCATGAGTTCAGTCATAAGCAGATAAGTATTGACCCCCGAGCCGACAGGTTATTTATTTATCCTCTAACATTTGTGGTCATATTTATAGTGTCTGATAAATAGGGATTATTTATGTGTGCTGGTTTCGCTCTCTCAGCAGGGCTGGTGTTCTCTGCTTGGGAAAAGGCAAGATTTTATTGCAGCGTATAGAAGTCTTTAGTAAGCTGATTTAAATAATATGGCGACTTTATCACAGCGTATAGAAGCCATTTGACTGCTGATTTACATGGGAAATAGGCTTTATAGACTTATCTTAACAGAGTTTGGGAAACGTCTTCAAGGTTCCTTCTTGTCTGTAAAAGGTGTTAAATGGTATTTGTAAAATTTAAGGCCATAAAAAGTCTTTCTCATGAGAGTTCTTAAGTTTGACATGATCAATATATTCCCCGTGTTGGCGTGGGGGCTCTGGTTTCCCCATAAGTCCTAAGGCATGGTAAGCTGTAGTGTATGTGTGTGATTGAGTGTGTATGGGTGTTTCACAGTGATGCGTTGAAGCTAAAATGCGTCCGCTGTGTAAAACATATGCTGGATAAGTTGGCGGTTCATTCCGCTGTTGTGACCCCTGATTAACAAAGGGACTAAGCTAAAAAAGAAAATAAATGAATGAAAATTTTATTTGATTTAAAAATTAAGGCAAGAAGGTTTTACAGTGTCATTACGTTGCCTAAAATGTTTGTTAAATCAAATAAACTTTATTTTAACTTTATTTTAACTTATTTAGGCTTAAAACAGTTTGACCAAAACATGCTGAAGCTTGAATAACTTATTTTAATAAGCTATTGTTAACTTAAAGACATGCTTAATTATTGATCATACAATAATTTTACTAATATTAATAATATTATTATCATTACAATTAAAACTATGAATATTCTTTCTTTATGCATTGATTTGTTCAGATATCTTGCATAAAACGACGCCAGAAATACAAGAAAATTGCATGTTCATTCTCAATGTTTGCATCTGGATTTTACCTGGATAGAGAATTATGACAATATTGGGCTCTATAATAACAATCTAGGTGCAAAGTCCAAGTGCATTTTCCACTTTTGCTATTTTACGGACCGACAAATCCACATTGCGCCATGGCGCATGGTCTAACAGGGTTGAGCTTATTCTCTTAATGAGTTATGAGTTGGCCAACAAGGAATCTGCGCGCACAGAATTCTGCAGATTTTTAGCTCATCATTGATTGTTTATTTATTTGTGTAAATTCATATTTATTCATTTTTTAAATTAACTTCAGTAATATAATTGACTAATATGAAAATGTTCTTAAGATTTATTGACAATATAGTTTGTA